TGATGTTCTGAATTGTTACTTCTCACTGAACAACTCCATTTCAGGAGTGAGGATGTATATCAGATTATCAATACAAGACAGAAATTGAAACGTTATGTTCCTATCCACTGCCAGAAGAACTAATACTCAAATCAAGGACATCACCACTCAAACCACCAGATATCTAGTTATGCGCAAGGACATCCACTGGACATTAGGATCGGGGCGTGTCGAGGTACTCGGTCTGCAGTGCATCATGGATGCGTCTTCGAATGAAGATCATAGCAATAGTTTTCTCAGCTTCGTCGACGGGTTCATCGTTGATAGGTTCCTCGATGATGGCTCTAATACCCTTTGCGGTAAGATGAAGCTTTACGTCTTGAACCCACTTCAGGTAGTTTCTTCCAAATACTTCCAGAGCGGTGAAATCGAGCTTGTTCAAGTTTGACATGTCCCTAAAACAGAGGGTACAAAAATGTGGTTAGTCATATGGAAACTCATAGACATACATCGTAGAACATTCGAGTTCTATAGAGGGCTGGTTCCATATGGGATACCGAATCGAAAATGACATAGCAAATCCCGAACTGAAAATTTTCGGGACTGAAATAAGACGACCAATCTAGAACCAAAACTTCGGGATTCCCAAGAAAATTTCGGTATTTCCCGAAACCGAACTTGCACTGAAATCCAAATCAACTAGATTGAAATCGAAAACATTCGAACCTGCATGAAAAACCCAAAATGAAATCAGAGAAATGACAGTGAAGATTGATGGGAGATAGAGAGACAGAGTGAAGAGATAATTCGTCCTCCTCCTGACCCGAGCCCCTAATTCAAAACCTTAAGCCCCAATTCGAAACCCTAATTTGAAACCCTACATAGAGAATTAATGGAGAGAATCGGAGGTGGGGATGGAGCCGTGAGGTGTGGTGGTGGCCGAAGCCGAGATAGTTCGTCGGAGTGAGATTGTGAGAGGGTGGTGGCTGCTGAGCTTCGAAATTGAGAAGGAGAGATAGAGAGAGAGAGAATTTGAGATTTAGTGAAGGGCCAAAGATAAGAAATGAGAGAGAGTGAGTAGGGATGTGTTGGCTTGGGTTTGGATTGAGTTGAAGGAATGTTTTGGTGGCTTCGCCTTTCTGGGTTGCATTGCAGATGGAGATAATTTGAGAGAGGGAGAGCAGCAGACAACACCCATGTGCTTTGATAAAACTTTAAACGCCACACTACACACGATCAGATTCTTATCCCCACACTTAAGTTATTCTAATAATATAATAATAGGCCATATACATATTCCAACATATATATAACAATAGGGTTTAAAGTTCGGTTCGGGATGGGGATACCAAACAATTTTAAAGTGTGAGACCAAATCCCATACCGAACAATTCGGGATCGGTTTGGTTTTGGTATCAAAATTTTCCGGATTTTTAGTTTGGTTTTTTTCCGGTTTGGTTTCGGTATGGTTTGGGATTTTCGGTATTTTTTTCCACCCCTATATAGACATGTATAAGTTTAATTTAAGCATGAAAGCTACAGGTTTCATGTGGTAAGTTTTGAATGAAAACTTCGGGTTTCAAAGACACTAAATATGAAACTACAGGTTCAATTTAGTTTTATGAACGATTAGTTTATAAAGGAGAGGTTCCTGTAAGAACACGGAATGCAATATATTGATTGAAGTGTAATTGATTTGAGTTGCTTCATAAACTTAAGTGTGAGAGCTTCAGGACAATGAAAGGATGTCAACGGTTCAAAGTATAAAAATAAATTATTGAATCGTTAATGTCCAAAAGTGATATTCATGTCAACAATTTTGGATTAATTATCAGATCAATGGACTGCTAGTCACTTTTAATTAATTCAATAGATAGGGACCAAACGAGGTCAATCGTGGAAGCAAAAAAATCACAGACGAATCATATTAGCTTCGGTTGGCAATAAACCAAGTGATATTAAATTAGAATTAATTAGCGTAAATCAAAGTACCCAAAAAAAAAAAAAATTGGGCATCATTTAGAACACGGGGGTGCCAAAAATTAGCATTGGGTCAAAAAATAACGCAGCCCAGCCAAAAGTGGGCTGGCTGCGATGTGGAGACGGGCCCTGCAGCACGATTGCAGGTCATTAGGCTGTGGGAAGGCTGCAGGCCTCTAGGCCGTGTGGTCTGGGTGAACGTAGCAGTAAAAGCTGCTGGTTTGGACAAAAAAACAAGGCACGGGGCAAGCCCAGCCCAAGGTTGGCTTGCAGGTTGGTGTGGGGAGGCCCAACCAAGGCTAGCTTCCGGGTTTTTGGATCGAGGCAGGTCAAGCCCAGCAGCGCAAAGGTTGTTGACGAGTTGGGCCGAGGGGTGGCGAAGCCCAGCAAGCGACATGAGCTTGTTGCAGGCAAGCATGTGGCACTGGACAAAGCCCAGCAGCATAAGGCTGCTGGCAGGTTGGGCCGGGGACACATAGACGGGTCCAAGAAGAGCTGCAGGCCTTCTTAGGAGTTGAGCTAGGTTGTGGGCCCTTGTAACCCTACCAGGATGAAGGCCTGGCGTGTCCGTGTAGGTGCAGCAAAGCCCAAAGGGCTGCTGCATGGTCCAGATGTCAAGACGACATCGTCTTGGTGGTGTGCTCCAAGCGGTTGGGTTGTAGGCCAGCTGCGGTGGTCGGCGATGGTGCCAGTGGTGGCACGGCGGCGAGCCACATCTATGCCACATAATTCCCATATTTTTTTTCGACTTTCTAGGGTTTGTGAAAAACCCAAATTGATTCTAATTTATTTATATGCTTTGACTCACAAATTCCACATAGCAAAATAATAATTGCCTAATGCATGAAACGTGTGTGTGTGTATATATATATATTGACAAATATATGAATCATGTACAATATATATATCAGAAGGAAAATATAATACAGGGGGTTCATGCATGAATGTTTTCATGCTTCGTGGACGTTTCAAATATCTTACTTTATTTTAAGCGTACTTGATTGGCAGAAAACAAATAAAAACCTTTAAATTTTGTAGAAGAAAGCCTCCTCCTACAATCCTTTAGTTTCTTAGCTTATGGCAAGAGTGTGCTGATAACATGTTGTAGGCATAATTGACTAAACTATTCTAAGGAAATAGAGAGGGGGAGGCCGGTGACAATAAGAGAGAGAAGAGAGAGATTTAATTGTGAGGTGTGTGTTATTTCATCCCATTGTGCTTTTATTTATGCTAGTAGGATAGGTTAAATCCTTACTCTAATAGGATTACTACTCTAATATGATAATATCTACTAAAAGGAATATTCCAACATATCCCTAAATACATTAGAATTTAAACAATCACATTTCTATTCTAAGGGGGTGTATTCAATTGGGAATTTGAGAGATTTTAGGGTGTGTTTGTTGCACCAGACTATCTCGGACTGGACTAGCTTCAGGGACTAAGCTAGACTGGCTTAGACTAGACTAAGCTGGACTGATTTAGTGAAGTGTTTGGTGCAGCGTTGGACTAAGAAGCAGGACTACAATATTATATTATTTTATATTAATTTACTATATATCAATTAATATTTTATTATTACTTTTTCTTTTTCTTTTTATTTCTAGAATCCTCTTCTTCATTTTGGAAAGATCTTGCCATAAACCCACTTAAGCAAACTGACATTCCATTCTGAGAAAACAAAGCAACAGTCCATCTCGCAAAGCCTTCTCTCTCGCGGGTAACTCCCAATTGTTCATCAATCTTTGCTCTTCAATTATTAATCAATCTCTTATCAATTTTATTTTAGATTTTGTGCTTAAACCTTCATGGGTTTTAATGGATATTTCAAAATTTTGTTTTCTGCCCCTTTCCCTTTTTCCCCATTTTTGTCCCTCCGCCTCTCCCTCCCATTTCCCTTTTCTCCCCATCTTTGCACCTTTTTTTTTTGTTACCAGTGTCTCCATCCCCTTCCTTTTGTTTCTCTCGTTTCACCTCTGTATAATTTCCCCTCTCCCATCGCTCTCTTTGTATTTATTTTTTCTTTTTTCTTCAAATTTGGTTCCTGTATTTTCTGGGCAAATCACAGTTGGTCAAGAAAAATCACTCAGAGTCATTGTACCAATGCTAAAGTTTTCAATCTTGCTGTCGGCAGAAGAATCTGGATCACCATGAGACCCGTTTTTGCCGTCGTTCAGGTCGACCCAGATGGAAAAAGACACCAAATCACCGACCCAGATGCCAAAAGGGCGCTGGGTTTATGGGACGATGGAGGGCTGATGCTGCTCATGCGGGTTTGAGCGACGTTGCTTGCAGAATAGGGAGACGGGACTAGCAATCCCGTGGTTTTTGGGGGGTCTAACTAAGACCTCTTAGTGAAGCCTTTAGTGTAGGCGGCGAGTCCGGGCTAGTCTCATTAAGACTAGTCCCGCATGATAACAAACATCAGACTGGACTAACTATTAGTCCAGTCCAGTCCAGTCCCACTTAGTGAGGGCAAACAAACGCCCCCTTAATGGATTTATAAATCTATGGATTTTTATGGAGTTTAACTGATTTGTAGAAATTTCATGTAAAATTTTGATTCAATTCCCTCGAAATCTCATGGATAGAGATGAGATTTGTGGATGCTTAAAATACAATGCAAGATCTCTCAAATTCCTTCAAATTCCTCAACTTTTCCAAATTCTTTAAATTCAAATTCTAATTGAATACACCTGGAATGTTATAAACTTCTTTAAAATTATAATTGAATACTTCTGAATTTATAAAGATTTTAATAAACTATTTAAAAATCCTGATTGAATACTCATTGAATTTCAGAGAATCACTCAAAATCCTGATTAAATACTCTAAATTCATTAAAAGAATTAAAATTCCTCAAAATCCCAATTAAATACACCCTCCTAAATATGACAGCAACAAACCATTATTTAATTCACAATAATAAAGTCATTTTCATTAGTTTTTTATTTAAACTTTTGTTTGGACTTTTTTACACCCTTCAACATCCACGACCCATTGACCTCGATTAGTACCCGGATCCGGCTATTTGACATTCTTGAAATATTCTGTGATTGATCTCCCTCTCCTCTCTTTCCCCCTCTTAATCAATTTCGATCTCTGTCCAATTAATTCCAATTTATTTGGGTTCTCTCTCCACAGTCCATAATCCATGGAGAATGATGACGTCAAATTGGGGTCTGCCGGCGGACTCAAATCCAACAACAATAAGAACGTCAGCGAACAAGAACAAAACCCTTGTTTGAATGAATGCGAAGAACGAGGAGAAGAAGTAAATAGTGAGCCTTCGCAGGAACAGGAGGTGGATCCTTCCTCCTCACCTCCTGTTCCCCTGCCTTCAAGAACTCCCTTCAGTAATCTCAGTCAGGTCGATGCCGACCTAGCCCTTGCTCGAACCCTCCAAGAACAGGTATTCAATTTCTCGTTGCATATTGCTTTGCTTGATTATTATTTGACCAAGTCTGAAAATTCAAACATGATTTCTTACTTGTTTTTTCATTTGTTATGTTATGGTTGCAAACAAAGGATTCATGTTCCACTCATTTTTTCTTCCTTAGCAACCGAACTTGGCCTTAGAATGTTATCTCGGTACTTGTTTGATACCCCCTCCGATTTTGTTTCCTCTTTCGTTCACTCAGTGACTAACGGAAATTCCATTGCGGATTGATTCCGATCATCAATCTCCATTCAATGAACAACTTGTGTTTCGGTTTCCATTATAAATTTTAAGATTGTTATGTGATATTTAGAAGGTAAAATACAACCTAAGACATAATTTATAGTTTTTGTACCATTCTGGTTATCTCAATTTTTGTTCGAAGAAACCATTTTTTTTCTGAATTTCAGACCACTCACTTCAGGTCCGCTCACCTAAATCTCCACTGGCACCTCCACCGACATCATCATTAACCCAAGTGTCACTTATGAATTTCTTTCAACTAAAAGAGTGAGGTCCAGGCTTGAAAAGCACACAAGGCATCGTCCTAATGTGCCTTGCAATCGGCAACTTAGAGGCTTTGATGTTGATAGCATCATGTGGGGGTAGTGAGATAATGAGTGGGTTGATGAAGAGTTAGTTGGGATTAAAGGAGACGACTACAACAACAACAACGACAAAGCCTTTTCCCACTAAGTGGGGTTGGCTATATGAATCCTATAACGCCATTGCGCTCAGTTCTGTGTCACGTCTTCCGTTAGATCCAAGTACTGTAAGTCTTTTCTTAGAGTATGTTCCAAAGATTAAAGGAGACTACTGGTCAAGGAAATTGGGATTGAATTTGGTTTGCAGGGAATCGATTGGTTCTTTGTGAAAGCCTTTTGATGGTTTCCTTATCTTTTTCATTGAAAAGTTTTTAATATTTTTCTGTGTGAGTTCAATTGTTTAGATCTACCCAAAATCATTTTGCAAGGCCGCTTCCTTTTAGTTTGTGTTAGGGTGTTCTTCAGCGCACTGGAGTTGTCTTTTTCTTTTCCTATTTCTGTTTGGGGTGGTTTGCTTGACCACCCTTTCTGTTGTTTCTGCTTCTTTCCACTTTTAATACACACACACACATATATATATAGACTTCAATTGTTTAGCATTACATATCTGACGATGATTATATATGCCCTTTCCTCTCAATCCGATCTCATCAAAGTACACACTCTCTTCCTTTTGAAGAATCAAAGGGTTCAAGATTTAGCAAAACTTGATTGCTGAGTGGTTCTATCAGTAGCTTTAAACTCCCTTGCATACTAGTGCCCAAATTCTTGTGTGCATGACACTGCGTTTTGAAGACCCTGATTTTCTGGGGTTGTAATAGTAGGGTTCGTTTGGGACTTCTTATGTAGGAAGCACATTCCAGAAGCAATCTCAAACAGGCCCGTCGTTGGGTTTAGGAGGTTGTGTCTATGGATATATAAGGTGGTGAGCTATGGTGGCTTTTGTAATCTTGACTCAAAGCTTCAACTCTCCTTCAATGTTCTGCATTTATAACCATTCCAATTGACTAAACAAAAAGAATTTGGAAGGAAAAGGAGGTTATGTTGTTCAGGTACCAAATTGATGCAGGACATACAAGGTGAATGTTGCTTTGGGATGTGGTGTGTTTTAGATGGCAGAAATTTTGTTAATCAAGAGAGGTGTAGAGCAGGAAACGATCTAGGGTTGTTGTAAGCTAGAGCAAGTAGATAGATGGAGAAGAATGTGGAGGAGAAAGAGGGCAAAAACAGTTTCCCCAAGCCTTCAACAAATCCTTCATTGTGATTTCAAATCTCCTTTTGGCTTACAAATAGCCTTGTTTATAGGCTTCAAATAGGACTTTTAATGACTTCTAAACATAGCAAAAAGGCCATTAAAACTGCAAAAATACTTCATTAGATATTACATAAATATAAAAAGACTCATCATACAAAAGACATTAAATAGTAAAATATTGTAATTTTGCTAGGGGCCAAATAAATACTCACAATAAAGCTTCATACTTGCTCAAAAAGAGAAGCAGCTTATTATCAACTCTTTGATTTTTTTTTTTCCGTCTTTTTTTGGGTGTGGCAAAGGTTATCAACTCTTAGATTGTGTGCTTGACTTATTTGTTTATTTTTCTATTTCGTATTGACCGGCTCAGACAATTATTGATATTTCATTTTAGACCAGAAAGGACTTATTATTAGATTTTTGGCCCAGTGGGATTTTAGTCTTGTATTTTCAAAGAAGGATATTTTCTATCAAGCTATAGGTATTGCATCATTCGATCTTAATGTGAATGCTGTTCACTGTCAATCTTATCTATAACTATAAGTCGTCGTGGTTGTTTTTGGAGAGGTTTTGTTTGATCTTGTTGTTCATGTAATCTTATTGCCGTTGTTTGTCTATTGAGTAGGAAAGGGCATACATGATGCTACGAATGAACAATGAAGGTAGTGATTATGGAAGTTGGGAAGCTGGAAGTTATGTGCATGAGGATGATAATGATTTCAATGAATTTGACGACGATGCTGATGAGGAACAATATGATGGAACTGAGGTTGACAGTGATGAAGATGCATTTGATTTGCATGCTCAAGATGATGCTGGAGAGGATGATAACCCCAGTGTCGAATATGGTCCGGCTGTTTTTTCAAGTGATGAGGCCTATGCAAGAGCCCTGCAAGATGCTGAAGACAGAGAGATGGCCGCTAGACTGATGGCACTTTCTGGGATCAATGACCGTGAGTGCTTGTGACTGTTTAGAGTTGTCGTATTTTTATATCATCTCATTTTGAAGTCCTTGAAATTATGCAATATTTAATGTTTCTGGTATCTTATTTTCGTTTCAGGTGAAGTAGAGGACACAGAGGAACATGGTGGTAACTCTCAGGTAACAATTTGTTGCTTGTATGCTGAGATTAGTATGATAACTGAGACTCTTCTAGAAGGCAGTAGCAGTTTACTGTCCTCTGCGTCAACCTTTTTTTCTCATCTACTTTTGGTTTGTAGGATACATGGGAGGAGATTGACCCAGATGAACTTTCATATGAGGTAAGGTGGTTCTAAATTCTAATGCTTCCAGTAGTGCATTTACCTTTTGGCTTGGTTCCATGACTTTTATATAACTATATCAGGAGTTACTTGCATTGGGCGAAGTTGTTGGAACTGAGAACAGAGGGCTCTCAGCTGATACTATCGCCTCATTGCCTTCAGTAAGCTACAAGACAGGAAGCAGCCAGAATGGGAGCAATGAGTCGTAAGCACATAACAAATTCCTTAGTTTTATGTTATTGAGTGTTGTGTTTGAGGTTTATTTCAAAGTTTTACTTCTGTTTCAGGTGTGTCATTTGTCGGTTGGACTTCGAGGATGGTGAGAATTTGACAATACTATCCTGCAAACATTCCTATCATTCTGAGTGCATAAATAATTGGTTGACAATAAACAAGGTACGATTTTGAAATTTCATGTTTCTTTTCACTGGCAATTCAATGTTGCTTACTCTGTTATAATCTGTTCATGTAGTATATAATTTCTTCATTCTTTCCAAAATAAAATTATTATTTATCATGTTCTTTTGTCACTTGCTCTGACATCAAAACTTGAACCAGTTAAAATATTGTGATATTGATATGCATATGGCAGTAGGTGTGGCGATGGTCAAAATTTGTATGATGTTGTATTCACGGTTTTTGGTTGTACATTGAAATTTTCCATAATTTTTTTGCTTTTAGTTGAGGCATTGGTGATTTCTTATTAGAGTAGCCATGTTGAAATTGTGTTTGCATGTGTGCTTGTGGATAGAGACAAAAAACAAAACGGACATTCACTTGCTATGTTACTGCAGATCTGCCCTGTTTGCAGCGCTGAAGTTTCCACATCTGGAAACAGCTAGCAGAATTTGTGGACCATCTTTACTTGCAAATCTAAACGACCATTTGTACAAGTCGGTGCACAAGGGTTAGAGTAGAGCCCTTGTATTGTTATTCATATTGCGGTCTCCTTCACTTACGAAAATGTTCTATCCAACCATTAAGATTAGATTACAATGCTTGTATTATATGAGAAACATTGTGGTCAGGTTTTGGTTACTTGTAAGTTTTCTGGATTACCCTTATGATACAAGATGATGGTCAATTATTTTCCCCAGTACTTTTCTATTTGCTATTGAAATTTGTAAGCCTGTAAGTTTTCTGGATTACCCACCCTCTTGATACATTCCGACTCCTATTTTACGGGCATGCTTGTCTATTTGTTTGTATGTATGCATTGATAGTAGTTGCGAGTTGAGTTCATCATTATGAATCCAAATAAAATGAAATTGAATTGAATGTGCCACATTGGATAGTGGATACTATATCAATGAGCTATGTAATTGAATTAGCTTATTTCTAAATTTACCCTTTAGAAAATAAAGTGTCAATATCTGCCTCTCAGTCTGTCATGTCATGTAGCAGGATGTCGTCCTACATATTTTTACACGAAGTCCTCTGGATTTCCTACTTTTTCTTTGTTCAAACTCATCTCATGTTTTCATTATTTTGCTGATTTTGTTGAACAAGCATTATCCTACTCTTTTGAGTTTGAGTGTCCGCTTTTAGAGCACTTCCAGCGTGCTCTTTAGCCCGGTGGACAGGGAACATTTGCAACCCAATCTCCTCCCAAATTAGCTCCCGCCCATTCAGGCAATTGGGCTAAAGAGGAGCTCGTGGAAGAGGGCAGACGGGAGTCCAAGGCCCGCGCGCCTAAGGGGGATTGATGCAAGGCTGACGTCAACCACGTTATAAAAAATGTTGCGTCAGGCGTTTCAAGTGGTGGGGCCCGCGGTTCACAGTGTGTCTTAGCCGTTACTGGGTGCAACGTGGCGCCCTCTTGACCGTTGGATTTTAACGGCTCTTTTTTGGACTGTTTGATTTCCAACGGTAAAAATAATTTTCAAAAATCCCCCAATGGCTAGATGACGTGGCACAATCTGAACAGTTCGATTCCAGATTAACGGTCCATGTTTTCAGGCTTTAAAAAAAAATTTTAAAAAACAAAAGAAAAAATTTCTGATATGTTACCATTATGCCACGTGTCACAATTTGGAGGGTTGGATTTCAAATTTTCTGTAATCCAACGGTAGAAATTAATTAAGTTAATAAAATTTTAAAAAATATGTTAAAAATTAATATAAAATCCGAAATTTGTTTTAAAAAAATTATATATATAAAAAAATATATATATTTTTTATAAATACCTTATCATTATCTTCCACCTTATAAGTTATACCACACTTTCATATTTTCCTCAACGATTCTAAAAAGGTAATGACACATGGCGCGATGAAATTGAATAAAAATCTTATCGAAAACTATCATAAAAAATTGTACTTTCGGATAATGATACGCAGCATAACGAGACCGTTAAAAAATCCTATACGAAATTACAAATAAAATTATTTTTTATTATTTTATAAAATAAAAAATATTAATATTTTATTACCTATTACCATGACTATTCAGTTTAAGGGTGGAAATGCAAAAAATAATTATTGCTCATTAAAGACAGTTACTATTAAGTGAAGGGGATTCAATTGCCAATTGCCATGGGGGCTTTCCTACACTGGAAGTGCTCTTATACATCAAGGAATGCCACCCAGGCAACACTTTGATGATATCCTATCTTTCTTAAAAGACGTTGACACTTTTACTCATTTTGGTTCAAATTTCATCCATGTGAGAACAGAAGGCGATTGACCCATGTGTGAATAGAAACCTAACATGCGGGCGACCTTTTTGTCTCGGGATTTTGACTGAGCTGAAGAGAATTTAGTAGCGCGTGAGGTTAAGCTGCAGAGGGAGATTAAAGAGGTGAAGAACAAGAATGCAAAGCTGGAAGAACAGCACCAGTTTGATCAGTTGGAAATGCTCAAAGTTGCGGATAAGCGAAATGTTGCAAACGAGAGATACGAAAAGTTGTTGCAGGAGATGAAGAGGGGAGTTGCAGGAAATGATAACGATGCGGTTATGGAGCTGATGAGGAAGTGCAGAGGTTGAGAACAAGAAGCTTGAGGTTCTGCTTGAACGGGAATATTCGGAAACGGAGAGAGAAGACTTTCGAGGATGGAGGAGAAAGCAAGAAATTGCGGAATGTAAGGTGTCGGGATGCAGGACATAGGGAAGGAACCAGAGGTAACGATGTATGAAAATGTTTTAAAATTATGACTTCATGTACTATTTTGGGATAAAAAAACTTTATGTACCAAATGTTGAAAATTAAATAACTTCAGGATCGTTAACTGAGATTAACCCTATAATGAAATTGTAGAAGTTTATGTTCAAAAATATATGTATTTCGTATATGTTAAGAGTTAACAACTAACTCATATATATGAGTAGTAAAGAACCGGTTACAACCAACCATCCCTATACAAAACTCTTGGGACAACACAAAGATAAAAAACTGAGAGGACTTATAATACTAACAGCTCCATAACCATCTCCATGCTGCCCGTGCTTGTCTTTGTCGAAGACCACACATGATGTGGAGATAGAAAGCTGACAGAACAAGAGATAAAAAACTGAGAGGACTTATAATACTAACAACTCCATAACCATCTCCATGCTGCCCGTGCTGCATGTGCTTGAGTTTATTATACAATATTCAATGTCCATACTTCTTGGTTATCTCCATGCTGCCCGTGCTGCATGTGCTTGAGTTTATTATACAATATTCAATGTCCATACTTCTTGGTTCCAACAGAAATACGTATGTTTAAAAAGTTAGTGGATGGGAACGGCCGATTTGGCGCTAGAAAAAAAGGATTGGTCTAAATCTGTAATTAGCTCTTAATATTTATCTGTTTTGATAAATAACACTCTTTTTAGTTGTAATTAAAGAAATGAGTTTTTATCAGGTGGATTAAATTAGCATGACACCGTAATTAAACAAAGTTAGAAAATAATTAAGGGAAGTGTTATTGGCACTTTAAAAATCTCATTCTACACTCCTCACAAGTATATTTTTTTTTCTAATATAGAAAGTTTGGAGTGTAGAATGAGATTTTTAGAGTGCTAATAACAATTCCCATAATTAATTGCCATATCTACTAATACTATTGTCACATCCCAACTCCCCCCTTCACACTCCAACATTTTTACGATATTACAGACAATGGTCAAGATTCAAAGACCCGCAAACCAAAGGCCCGGCCCTAGCCTAAGGCAGCCATGGCAACCGTACAGGGCCTCAAAAAATCGGGGGCACAAAAAAATTTAATTTCTATTATTATAATGCTATGTCCAGTGAGCGTATAAAAATATAAAACTGGATATTTGTCATAAGTTATCACTTGCAGTAGTGTTTCGCTGCTTTCTTGCAATGGAAAGGAACACGAGTTCGAAACTCAAAACTGCCTAATTTTTTATGCATTTATTTCATCTTTGGTTTAAATAAGTAGCTATATTTCTATATGTGCCTTTGACGAAAGTGGTTTTTACAAATTCATTTTCAATTAATTACCACCCTTTGGCAAATAATAATAATAATAATAGTAGCCACCCAAGTCCAGATCAAAATGAGGGCCTTTTTCTTTTGGGAGTTTTAACGAAAAGTTCCAGTACTATTCACTAAAAAATCAATCCTAACACTATTCACTTTATCCTTTATTTTGTTCTTATCGTTAAAACTCAAAGTTTTCAAGTCATTTTCATTAATTTTTTTTTCTTTAGCAATGATGTTCTGTTTCAATACAATGTTAGGGTTTAGGGTTACTTTTCTTTCTTATCCAAGAAAAATGAGTTGTATTTTTAATAACATATATGTGGTATTTGGTTTTTCAATATTTTTTTTGGTTCATTCATTGTTTATAACATTATATATAAAAATTAGAGAGAGAAAAATATGACAATTCTTATGAGGCCCCAAGGCACAGTAAATTAGAAAATTATCCCGATAATTATAAGTTTTATACAAAAAAACCTGTCATACTTTAATTGATTTTTGCTTGTGAAATATTTGTGTACCCTTATCTAATTACAAACTAAAGTGTAATGTTATGGCTTAGATGTGAAATCTATTTTTCTTCACTTATAAGTGAGAGGTCTTAGGTTTGAGTTTTTTAAATGACAAGTTAGATACCAAATTATGGCCAACCCATCTTGTTGCTTAGCATAATCCCTCACATCCTGCTATCAAAGAAAAGTTACATCGCATGAACAAATATGAACACTAAAACAATTGAGTTTTTTTTTTTTTTTTTCTGACGTGGAGTTATATTAGGGCACTTTTTTTGGTATTGCCCCGGGCCTCAAAAATCTCAGGACCGGCCCTGAACCAAATCACCTTCTTTTTCCTTACATCTTCATCTTTGCATGTCATGACACGCCATGCATTCTCTGTAAATCCTAATGCACCGCTTGATTTCTCGGAAAATTTAGGAAATTGAAACTAAAAATTTGGAGAGGAGAGAAAGAGAGGCTCATGTACATGATCAGCGAGTGACGGAGCCGGTTTATTAGAGAGAATTCGAAGCAGAATTTTGAAAGCTAACGACGTTGTTAAGGTAAAGCTAAGGAAGGTGAACCGCACGCTAAAAGAATGCATGTCATGACTTGTCTTGACACATTAACCCTCGCATCGTGGCACACCAAAACATCGTTGTTGGCATGCAATGACATGTCATGCCATGCATTTTGCCAACATTTTGCGCGCTTGGCATGGCTTGTCATGACTTGTCTTGACACGGTAAACCTCAGATTGTGGCACGCAAGAACATCGTTGTTGGCCATGACATGACAAGCGTCTCGAATTGTCGACAGAATGAATGTCATGACATGCATGCATTCTCTCTATAAACCCTAATGATCTGCTTGGTTTCTCTGAAAATTTAGGAAATTGAAACTGAGGATTTGGAGAGGAGAGGAGAGAGGCTTACGTACGTGATCGGCGAGTGACGAAGCTAGTTTATGGCTTGTCATGGTTTGTCTTGATATGGTAACCCTCACATTGTGGCACACCAGAACATCATTGTTAGCCACGACATGACAAGCATCGCGAATTGTCGGCACAATGCATGTCATGACACGCCATGCATTCTCTCTATAAACCCTAATGCTCCGCTTGGTTTCTCAGAAAATTTAAGAAATTGAAACTAAGAATTTGGAGAGGAGAGAGAGAGGCTTACATACGTGATCAACGAGTGACAAACCGGTTTATCGGAGAGAATTCAGAAGAGAATTTCAAAAGCTAACGA